TTCATTGCTCTTGTTTTAAATAAATATTCTTACATGTTTATTTTTCACAGAAACTTTAGAATCAGATTGGCTTGGAAAATTTCATGTTGTTGATGTTTTTGAATTGAGATTAGTTCCATTTCCAAATTTTTAGAATAATTTAGAGAACCTTATTATATTTGTGATGCTGAATTTTCTTAGTCAAGAGAAGTATCTCCATTCACTTATTCACATCTTTTTTTTTTCCTTCATGCATAACATTGAGAACTTTCTGATTTTTATTCACAGGAAAGAAAACTATCGTGTTTTTAGACGAGTACTTTATAGTCGATTCTCTTTGATTTTCCACCTATACAAGTATTGCATTTGCTAATAACAATCTTGCTTCCAATTTTTATAAATCATTTTTCTTTCTCTTGTCTGATTGCTTAGGCCAATAACTCCAAACCATTGTCAAGCAATAGTGATGACAGTTTGCATTCATGTTTTGTTTTGTTTTCCCTGACTTTACTGGAAATAATAATAAACATCTTATCACCTTTCAGCAGAGATACCATACACTTTCTGTACTTCTCAGTTCTCCTGGATTTTCTTTGCTGTCATTCTTTGTTGAATACCTTCCAACTTTGAAAATTCCCTCCATTTGTTTAAAGATAAAAAGCGAAGTTCTTCGTCATCCATTGCTTAGAAAGGAAAAATTGTAACGGAGGGCAAGGAGCTAAACTTCACAGCAAGAGCCAAAGCAAAGGGTTAGAAAAAGTTCCTTCAGGAGAAGGCCATGCCCTCTAGTCCCTCTACAGAAGAAGGAACAGGAGCGTGGGGAGGAGTCGGGGCCACTCCCGCCCCTTGCCCAGCGTCGGTGCCACCCGCGGAGATGAAATGTGAGCCCGGGTGGCCAAGGACGCTGGAGCGGCCGCCTCCCCCGCGCCACAGCGCCGTGGGGCAGGACAAAGACACCTCCGTCCCCAGCGCAGCCCGGCCGGGCCACGCGCGCCCCAGCTCCCCGGAGCTCCGCACCCGCCACCTGGGCAATGGCCAGGGCTCCGCTCGACCCCTCTCTCCGCGGCGCTGCTCTCTCCCTCTGACCACCCTGCACTCTCCCCATCCCCTCCCGGTCCGGGCTCTCCGTTCGCTCCCAACCTCCTTCCAGGTCTGTCGGTCTGTCTTGGCGCGCAACCTCCGGCCACCGGCTTGGATGGACACGCCGACGCTGCCCGGGCATCCAGGGGTCTTGCTTTCGAAGTTGGTCCTGCTCTTGGTCTACGCAGGTCAGTGACAGAGGGCGGCAGGAGAGGGTCGGGGGGCTTGGGGCTGCGCTTGGGTCACAGCCCGGGCTAAGGCGGGTTAGGCGAGATGGACCCGGACCTTTGCGGCGGGGCAGAGACTGCTCGGTCCCCTGGAAGCGACAGCAGAAACCCGCGCGCTCCAGCCCTCCTCTCGACCTTCATTCACGGTTTTGTTTTGCTCCTTTTCCTTTGACTTTTCTTTTTTGCGTTTCTTTCCTTTTCCTCTCTTGGCAATCCGCAGGTTTAAGGGACTGTACTCTCTGGGTAGCGTAAAATGTATCCAGTTGTATCCACGACTCAAGAGGAATCTGAGGGTGCAGTCGGAGCTAAGGGGTTAGAGGAAAGCATTTTACAAGCACCTGATGAGAAATCTGC